AAACCTTACTTTTTCATTTCAAATCATACCACGTAGGGAAACGTCAAGCTTTTCAGTTAAGTATTTCGTAAATTGAACTATTTCCTACATACATACGAGTATTACTGACGCGTTTGCGACTACAGAGCACCATGTACGAAGAATTCTAAACGAATATGCCGGTATTGTTCGCCCATTTCATAGAAAAGCCATTTTACACCTTTGCAAAATAAACATTGTGATTATTGGAGCAGAATTGAGTTACGGGAATTGAGTCGAATGTAATCGAGTTGGAGCAAATGGACTTCTCGGTAACAGTCAGCTCTTGTTACAAGTACATCGATCAACAATCGACAACTATGTGTTGTGAGATATCTGTTACCTATTACGTTTAACCCCTGGCGACACAGCGCAATAAGAAGTGGCGTTGGTGTGTATCTTTGTGACTGTCTGTGGCATGATAGGACCTAAATTGGTGGGCCAATTTTGATTAATTTGTTTGAATTTTTTTTATAATTATTAGTTCTATTCAAATTGTTATTGATTATGATTTCGTTGTTAGATGTAAGCATTAGTATAAACAATGCTTCATTTTTTAGAATAAGTTAAGCATTTAAACAACAAACACAGTTAAGAATCGTCATTTTAGTTACCTTTTTTTAAGGCTATAAGTTTTCCGTAAGAATAAAATGAATAAAAGAAACACGAACCCGAGGTTTTGGTTATGGTGGTGTTACCGGCAGCTTAACCCTCCCTCCTCCCTCGTTTCTGGAACTCTCAAAGTCTAGCAATGTAGTTGAGTTGAGTCTTGAGCTGCAGGTGTCCATGGCCCGCGGTAGTCACTTACCATCAGGTGACCCTTCTATGTATCCGTGTGGAGACGGATTAAGAATACAGACTGTCACCACCCCTATTCATCCCTTAACTGTCATAAGATCCGACTCAGGGAGTAAACTACGCAGGACAAAGAGAAGGAAAACTTAAAACATACCTAACCCGTCTAAACAGCGGGGTATAGTAGTTCAAAAGCTTATTTCTAAGGAGGAGAGGCCTATGTCTAGTAGTGGACTAGTGAAGGCTGTTGATGACCCTTCTACTCGTTTCGTCTCTATTCCACGAGAAATTGTTTTGATTTTAATAAAAGTATTAAAATTAAAAGCTCATTTATAACAAGCACAGAGATGAAAATAACATTTCCGTTTCTCCAGCGCATAACGACCGAAGCAAATGATCAATCCTCGTCTTTTTCTGTACCATTTAGTGATATTAAAACAACATCAGTGTCCGCCGCGAGATGAATTTTAAGGAAACTTCTTCCCCTATCGCTAACGACTTATTTATCACAAATATTAATCTTTGAAACTTATAAAATGTGTCTGCACGGATGGCGTAGTGGCTTAAACAGTCGCCACGCCATTTACTACTACGATGAGTTTTGTGGGTTCGATCCCCACATGGGACGACACTCTGTGTGATCCACAAATTGTTGTTCAGAGTCTGAGTGTTCTTTATGTCCGTTTCATGTATGTTTGTAAAGTCCTTCGCGATACAGGATATATTCCTAATGCGGGAGTTGTCTTTTAAAATGTAAGATTCGAAGTGATAGCAAGAAATTAATCGTATAAATATGAACCCTGCCTATACGACACTTCTCTATAATCTTCTCGATCTATATTCCTAATGGGGGGAGTTGTCTTTTTTGAAAGAGAAAAAAAAATTGTGAAAGTTTAGTAAGGAGAATTTGTATAGATGGAATTTAGACACAACTGACAGTGCTTTACACCAAAAAGGTTACACTCATATGTATATTTTCTTGAAATAGATTTTGCTTACACTGGAATTGGTTACTAGAGACTTATTGCTAAAGCAGAGCTTAATAAACGATAGAGCATTTGTATAACAAATTTTAATTTAATAATCGCGAATACTTAAAACACTAAACATCAAATTGATTTAGCTAATACCTATGTCTAGTATCAGGAGAATTCAATACATCTTGTTTTTTTAGTCAGATTGAGTCCGACTTACCCACCTTAATAAAGTGTAGGTTTCAAAAGGCACAAGACGTGTACTGAGTTTGTAGGGAAATTAAATTGAAATATTGCACAAAGTTTTCGTATTTTGTACTTGATTTCATTCGAATTTCTTGTTGACGTAACTCTTTCGATTGGAAAGTAATGGCTTAGAGTTTTATGACCTTTCCAAACATATCAACAGATGAATTAACGACCGGCCTGTGGTCTAGTGGTTAGTGACCCTGACTGCTAAGCTTGAGGTCGTGGGTTCGATTCCCACCCAGGACAAATATTTGGGTGATGATCACGATCATTTGTTCTGTGTCTGGGTGTAATTTATCTATAATATGTATGTATTTAGAAATATCTTAGTATGTTTATCAGCAGTCTGGTTCCCATAGTACAGGCTCTGCCTAGTTTGGGATCAGACAGCCGTATGTGAAATGTGTGAGGTTATTACTATTATTACAATGTTAAATTCTTTTTCTTATATTTTTAATTAATCCGTAAGTATATACTCGATTTACCATAATATATCATAAAGAATTTTGCTATGACAAAACTGTATGGTGCAAACAATTTGTAGTGTTCTCACTTGACAACTAAATCTTTGACGATATCAAAGAGCCTAACGACCATGGAATTTCATGGAAATATATCCTTAATTTGAGCCCTATTATAACATCTTCCGCAATGGAATGAATGCTAAACAGGCTCTTACTTCCAAATGATATTGGTAATGTTTCAAATGACTGTTATTATTTCTCGTAAAGTACTCTTTGATGTCCCACTAGTTAAGTGTCGTTTGTAATAAAGTTGTTTACCAAATTGGTGGCAGTTTTATATTTGAATAATTCTTAGCATTAGCACAGATAATCTTTTAAGTGTCATTTTGGAAATTCCCTAGATTTTTTTTCATGATATGAGGGTAATTCAGTAAATTACTAAAGTCGTCAGTTGCGTGCCTTCGTTGTGGGAGTTCGCTCTTTACTCAAAGGTATCGCTCCGGGAATACGGCAGGCGACTATTTGTTAAACAGATTGGTTGTGAAGGGCAGAAATTTTTTGACAAGCGCATAGTGGTGGAGTGTCATTTCTGCAAGTTTTAAGTTGAGTTGTCATGAAGGTAAGTTATTTTGTGCAAATAGGAAAAAGGACTTGACATGATGTCAACGTTAAGTCAATAAAAGCAATATTTGAATCGGAGGGTTTTGGGAACCTTAAGCAAGGTTTAAAAAAAAATTATATACTTTAGATCATATGGCAAACCGTTTCGAATATCTTATTTCGTAACCTGTATAATTTAAACTGAAAACCGAAACTGCAAACTACGCAGGACAACAGGTAATGCAAAGTGAAGGAAAACTTGAAACAAAGCCTATACCAACCGAGGCTAGTATAGTAGGCCAAAACCTCCGTTTTAAGGAGAAGCCTATGTCCGGCAGTGGACTATTAAGGCTGTTGATGATGATTACTTAAATAGTCATTATATGTATAGCCGTTTATACAGAATAATTAACTTTATGACACGTGATCCTTAATTTTTTTACTCTTTGCACTTCACATATTGGTAGAGGTTACGCCGCAGCCGCAGGTCAAAACCCATATCTCCTAGTTTTGGAGGGGTGGTATCGCACTTGTGACCTTATCTATTGTGTGATCTTATCTATTGTAGGCAGTCATTTACCATCAAGTGACCCGTCTGTTCGTTTGTCTCAATACACAATAAAATATATATAAAGTTTAAACTTTGGAAAATTTTACATATCTATCTGTGCGCATATTCCTCCAAACTGTGTACAAAGAATTCTCGTCACGTTATAATATATGGATATTCGATCGATTCGTCTGCCAACGCACGTCGCTAGTGATTAGAGTAATCTTTCGTCAACCCGCCCATTGTGAAGCTTGTAATCAGTAGGGATCGGGCGGGTTCACATCAAAATGAATGACTAATATTTGTGTTTACCCATGTCCAATGGCTGCGGTCGCACCCAAATACATTATTAGGTGTTTGTCAACTCGGTTTTATGTTAAAAATAAATGTTTCAACATAAAATTGATGATATTGATCCTCCTGCTTTGAGGGAGCGTTGGCTGGTAGTACACGATACTGTCTTAGTAGATGATTTAGCAGTTGAAACAATTCTGGAGATTTTTTTATCTATTCATGTATTTTTCCAAAAAAAAAAGCAAGGATATTAAACGCCCTCAGAGTACAATTTATGGGACAAAAATAAAATAATATTTTCTTTAAACTAATACTTTAAATTAATCTTTCTTTTCTTACCATAACCTTGCTTTCTTATTTTTATTTTGCTCTTCAATGTATTACGATTTTTTCGTACCAATAGGCTTGCCCTCTCTTATGCAAAAGGAAATAAAATTATAGTTAGGAAAGATGGGGTTTAATAAATTCCTACGGGAATATAGGCGTGAATTAATGTATGTGTATCTATTGTATTGACTGTATTCGTCTGGATGTAGTCTGGTACAACGATCCTCAAATCGTCATACCAGTGACCTATGCATTTAAACTGATTAAAGGTGAAAGTCTTTACCCGAAAGTGCTTCAGTGTCAACTCATTTTTTGTCACAAGTTCAAAGACATCAAAATGCTTTATTGACAAATTGCGTTCCACAATTATGTCGTTGCTGGGAAGAAATGTGTATTTCTCTGAACGTTTATTCAATCAAATTCTGTTAACACCAAAGAAATACACGAATCAACCAACACCACTAACTATTCAAACTCGCTTATTTAAACAAACTCCATTAAACAATCCCTATTAAACTCCGGAATTTCCATATAAAATTTTATCTATAAACCCACGTTCCAAATGAACAATCAACAAAGTTTGTACACAAGTTGATACAATACCCTGTGTTTGTTTAGTCTAGTTCAATCTAACCTTTGTTCGTTTGTTTGTTAACAGGTAATAAAAAACTAAGAGATGTGGAATATCAGAGTACGATACCTTGCGGAAGTGTCCAGGAACTAATTGCCATGACATCCGAAGAAGCTATCGATGTGGTCGCCAAAAAAGACGCGAAAAAGACTGATGAGTGCTCGAATTTTGAAATACCAAACGACAAAAAAGAAAAAGCTGTTGATGATCAGAGAGTGAAACGCTCCCAAGAACTTATGAGATTAGTGTATGAGTTACCTGATGATATAAAGGCACCTGAATTAATAGAAAATAACAATATGCTTAAAGAAAACCCACCGATCACAATTGTTGAAATAACTGAACAAAATGGTTGTGCTGAACTAAGTTCTAATCAATGTGATACTTACTTTGAAGATGGAGACCCACAAAGCTTGGGCAATACGGTGGTATTCGATGTCCTGGCGACGAATGAACTGATCATGCAATGTACTGAAGAATTTAAGAAGGTCATAGATAGGTCGTCTCCGGATGATAGTGATGTGAGTGATGAAGACTTGTGTGAGTTAAAGAAAATATTAGAATCAAAGCCAAAGGTTTTAGAGAGGTATATCCGTGAGTGCGCGAACACTGATGAGGTTACAAGGTTACACAATTTGACGTCACTAGGCCCTCTATCTCCGAGGCCTCATCACGAGGCTCGGAGTACTTCAGTGACATCAGACCTGTTCCAGCTATGGCTGTCGTCCTCTCCGGTTAAGGTGAGTAAATTATACTATTGTGATGTCATTATTCAATTGAATCGTTATATAACTTGATGGCTGTTTGTGTGGTGTGTTTTATGGTTTTGTACTTCTAAATGTGTTTAACGGTAGACACATAAATTAATATAATGATAAAATAAACATATTAAACCTGAATTCGGTCCGGACGGTCCGTGTGGTGACGGATTAAGAATACAGAGTGTCACCACCCCTATTCATCCCGTGGGTGTCGTAAGAGCCGACTAAGGGAAAAAACTAAGCAGGACAACAGCACTGCAGAGAGAAGGAAAACTTGACACAAACCCTTTACCAACCCGTCTGGCCAGCGTGGTATAGTAGGCCAAAACCTCCTTTCTCAGGAGAGGCTTATGTCCAGCAGTGGACTATTAAAGGCTGTTGATGTTGATGATGATGAAACCTGAATTAAGAAGAATTAAAATAACGTGTTTTTTCAGCTAAAAGAGTTACTTATAGATATTTTTATTTGTTATCATTGAGTTATAAGTTATCAAGAGATGTAGGTACAGATCTCTTCCGAGAACTCGCATCTTATACTGACATACGAGTTTCATACCAAATATACCTGGATATATCCGAGTATTAAATAAAAATGATCAATCATTTGTTTGATCATTCAAACAGGAAGTTCCACCTGTAGATGGTCAAGTGGTATAATTATGGATGTTCCGTATTTCCATACTATACTTACTATGCTGTTAGTTCTACAAGATATCATAATAAGCATAAATTTAAATACCTGGTGAAATTTTTTAATTATAGCTGAAAACAAAAATCTAGGCAACCTAAAAATAAAATCAAAACTACATCCAAATTGGTCCACCCGTTGAGGAGTTATGATGCCAAAGAAATGCTAGTTAAACTTGTGATACTCTTCCCATAGGAAAAAGAGGGACACATACTTGTTGACTTGAGCCACAACGAAAATCATAAAAAAAGATTGAACGAAAATATTCACGAGGTAAATTCATTTTGTTAGAACACACAATTTTCTAAAGGACGTCACAATGAAAAACAAATGACAGTCTCGCAAATTAAAAAGTAACATGTTCCCAAATAGTTCCATTTTCGAATTCCATAATCATTTTATTGTAAGTGGCCAGATCCAGAGATCCACGTATATTTCATGCTAGATTCTTAATAAAGTTAATTAATATAAGTTGAGTAGGTAATTAATTACTCAAGTCTCAAATAAGTACTTGTTCCTTTATTAAGTTTGTTAACAAGAAATGCGTGGGCTGGACCAGAATTTCTTACTTAGACTTACCTTTTCAAGGATTATAAAGGTAATATTGATGTAGATACTTTTGAATATTAAAATTTACTATCCGATTTACCTAATGGTAACAACAAACCAGCCTACGCCGCAAATGGTTTCCGTGAAAACCATTGTATTCAATATCTTTGAAAAAAATCTATCCGATCGTGGAATAAATAAAAGCCTTTTATATATTTTGGTGGTTTACTAATAACTTATTTACACCTAGTATATTGCTCCTCAACATTCCTGAATTCATTTAGTCTGAAATCCCAATCCCATCCCAATTAAGTCGTTGCAATGTGTTGATGGCATATTATTTTTCTCTTTCGACGCAATATGTTTGTCCGATTTTAAATTAGTTGCTTTTTAATGATTTTTTTTATTTAACTTTACGTGTATGTATGGGGTCTACCAATAAGAACGTCCTGGTTTAAAATATAAATAAAACCCACAATTTTTTATGAAAAATGCATCCAAATGATTTATTTGATAGATAATTTTATGCAATTTATGTTTTAAATAATATATCGGCCAAATGATCGCCGCAGCTCTTTTTGCAGACGGTCACCCGCTCACGCCAATTTTCGATGACGCGGTGCACCATTTCGGCCGGTATGTCGGCTATGGCTCGTCGAATGTTCGTTTTTAGGTCACGAATTGCAGCTGGATTATTGCTGTACACTTTAGATTTAACGTAACCCCAAAGAAAATAGTCTAAAGGTGTTAAATCACACGATCTCGGTGGCCAACTGATCGGTCCATTTCTCGAAATTAACGACTCACCAAACTTTCCACGCAATAATTCCATGTTCACTCGAGTAATGTGAGGTGGTGCACCGTCTTGTGGAAAATAAAGGTCATCTGCATCAATATCATCAAATTCCGGAAAAAAATATTCGGTTATCATTGAGTTATATCGCTCGCCATTCACAGTAACAGGGTTTCCTTCGTCACTTTCAAAGAAGTTTTGGACAATTTCCAAGCGTTGGTTTAAAGTGAAACGTGACATAATAAAATGGCAAACCTTACTGAACACAAATGTCAAGAGACGTCAAAGATCCATCATCAAACATGGCCACTATGAGCTGTCAAAACCAGGTCATCCCTATTGGTAGACCCGTTATATCCTGGAATTATACAATCAATATTTCACCCACTTCCACTGAAACTATCGTGCTGAAATTTGGCACACACGTTGGCTCTCATAACAATTCACGATGACTTAAATGCCGCCATTTTGAATCCAATATGTCGGACGTTACAAAATAGTGATTTATCTCGTTTTTTTTAAAACATTATCAAATTTTATTGAAAAATAAAAGCTTTTTTTTACATTTTTAAAAGCTTTTATTAAGAGTTAATTAAGTATAATGTTATTGGGTACATTTACAGAATCCCTATTCAGCTCTTTAAAGATTACAAACTTTTTCTTAAATTCTTATAGTACAACAGTTGCCATACTCTACCACTCCACTACCGAGGCAGTCAAACAACATTCGGTTAATTAATTCAGTGTGGCCACTGAATTAATTAACCGAATGTTGTGTTTGGCTATATTGGAATATAACATCTCACGTGTCACTAAAAATATCGTAGATAAGTAATTAGATAAACCATAGACTTTTGTACAATAGGGGTACCTAATTAGGGTCGGCCTAAAAGATAGAAGCCCGAAATAAAACAAATTTAATTAAGTTATCTGATATTGTCTATGATTTAGTAGTAAAAATATAGTTTAAAAATCTTTGCAAGCTACAGAGTTCTGTCTAACATTTAGCGACATGTACAACATTCATCGCAATATAACACCAATTTATAAAAAAACGCCTTATTAATTATACACCCAGATCTTTCTCATAAATCACTCTACTCACGTATTAAAGTTTGTTAGTCAGTTTTCCAGTTTATATCGTTTACATACATGCAGCGAAAGGACTTTGTTTTATAACATGGGTTAGGAGGGTGAAATATTCTTTACTGTCTATTCTATAAAAGCAAAAAAAGCACTAAAATTGGTCGAGCCGTTTCGGAGGAGATCATTTACAAACATCGTGACACAAGATGTTGATTATTTAACTAGTGGAAGAGAAAATCTTATGATTTACGAGCTTGCCTACCTGATTTATTATATAAAAGCTCGTAGCAAAAATTCTTCTCCATTTTTTCCAGAACATTACACATCTTCTTTTCGTTTGAGGCAGCTATAGTTTCCGGTTAAAAATCCTCTCGAGATAAAGTAAAAAGAGTATATATATTTACTAAAATTAATTATAAATAGTGGTAATTTGCAAGGGATTGACAATGCCCTCAAAAATTCTATTATCTCTAACGATTAAAGCCTTTCAATATTGAGTCCCGGACGTCCGAAGCTTAATAGGTTTTCGCATCGAGATTCAAGATCAAGCGATCAAGAGCGAGCTCAAATACTGGGATTTATCGCTTCAATGTGTAAATACCGGACCTACCTACAGGACTCAAGTGGGATAAATGTGATTCATGGATTACGTAAAATAAATTGGCAATTGTTGATAAAATCAACTGAACGAATCACTCTGTTTTATTTACGATTTTACCTACTCGTGTGATTCTTTCTGATTTCGTGTTCCTAACTTTGAAAATGACGTACTTTCAAATTACCGTTCATCCCTTATTTTAACTACCTCAGGGGTGAGATTTCCAAAAATCATTTCTTGGTGGATGCTTACAGCATAAACAAACAGATGCCAAAGAAAAACTTACGTAGAAAATAGTTTAAATAAATCTTTAAAGCGGTTTATATATCTCATCAAATTTTTGGCTCAATCGGCGCAGATTTTTTTGAGTATTTGAAGCGTACACAAACCAACTTAACACTTTTATATCAATACGATTGCTCAATAGTTTACAAATCTACATATCAAAATATGTGTTTATTTTATTTTAACATACAAAGTACGAAGTAAATAAGTATAATTTATAACTTTGATATAACAAGTTTGATTGCACGGTTTCTATTGGTTTAAGCGGTCGCCACGCCGCTTCCTACTGCGTTGAGTGTTGTGGGTTCGATGCCCACATGGGACGACACTTTCTGAGATCCACAAATTGTTGTTATAAGTCTGGATGTTCTCTGTGTCCGTTTCATGTGTGTTTGTAAAATCCCCCGCTACACATGAATATATGTTCCTAATGCGGGAGTTGTCTTTTTAAAGAAGAAAAAGAAAGAAAGTTAATTTGTAACAAATAAGTAGGTAGATAGTAGATACTGAATTTAAGCGATGTGTATTACAACTATTATATATTGTGTATTATATACTCGTAGTAGGCCAAAACCTCATTTCTAAGGAGAGGCTTATGTCTAGCAGTGGACTGTTAAAGGCTGTTGATGTGATGTGTATTACAACTTGCTCTTTTTTCTAATAAAGTTAAGTTTATTATTTCATATTTCGCCTGTTTTACGACCAATATAAGCAAATTAAATATTTGTCATAACAATATTACGTAATTTTTTTAGGGTTTGTTAAATATCTGTATCAGCTTCACTCGTGATTAACGACTTAAATAACTATTTTGGTTAAGTCAAAGTACTTGTTTCTTTTCAAAAACCTTGCGCGCGTAATCGTACATGTTCTGTCTAGTGATTGAAAATGCCACTCGAAGAAACTACAAAATAGAGTTTGTAAATGATTTCAAATAATAATAAATGTGTTGAATAATCTTTACAATGTTGAGTGACATAATGACATCTCATCATTCTGCGTGATTGGATTCAATTTGGCGTATCTATCTTATCGAC